CGCTCTTCCAGTCCTTCCTGAGAAAACGTTATTCCCATGGAGCCAGAACCTTTCTGAATCCTCAGGATGAAGTATGCTTTGAGAGCTGACACTTTAAAGCTGCCGGAAGCTGGCAAGGGAGTGAGCTTGGTTATTCGCTGCTTATTCGCTCGCAGGAGGGAGATGAGCGTGCTGCTCCGCGCGCTGCGGCTGCCCACGTGACGGAGGCTGTTTATTTTGGAGCCTTTCATTTCATCGTGGTGCGGTTCTCAGCTGAAGCCCAAGTGTCCCCTGGATAAATTAAGGACTCTCTCTTTCTCCCCTCATAAAGTGACCTAACTCGTTCAGAAATCATTGTGGGCCTCCAGGGACCAGATCCTATTGTAGGCACCTGGGATCCACTGGTGAGCAAGCCACGCAAGGGTCCCTGCCTCGTGGAGGTGACATTCGCTCAGAGAAGACGGACAACAAGTAGTCAACATAAGGAAAGTTAGACAGTGTTGGAAGGTAGTGAGTATTATGCTGGGGAGGGAAGAGGGCAGGAGGGTCTGGATTTGGGCTCGGGAGGGATTGCATTTGAAACAGGGAGGTCAAGGTGGGGCTTGGTGGTGGTGACATTTGAGCAAAGACTTGAAGGGGATGTGGGCGTGAGCCACTGGGTACTCTGCAGGAATGGTATTTCAGGCAGAGAGGGAACAGCCGGCACAAAGGCCCTGAGTCCCTGTTTGTGTTCTGATCTGTGTGGTTCTCAACCACAGTGATCTTGCCCCCAGGGGACGTTTGGCAATATCTGAAGCCACTTCAGTTCGTCACTGTTGGGATGGGGCTGGGGGACACTACTGGCATCTCCTGGGTAGAGGCCAGGGATGCAGCTACACATCCTTAAATGCTCCCACAACAAAGAATGTTCCAGCCCAAAATGTCAGTAGTGCTGAGGTTGAGAAACCTTGTGTTTGAGGAACAGTGAGAAGGCCAGAGAAGCTGGAGGGGGAGGCAGTAAGGAAGAAGGAAGCTGCATACGAGGTCAGTGGTAACAGAGGCTGGGACGGAGTGGGTGGCCAGGTCAGGGAGGGCCTTGGGCCAGTGTTGACTTTGGCTTTTATGCCAAGGGAAATGGGGAGCCATTGGAGGGCTTGGAGCAGAGGAGGGGGACATGAGCTGCGTTAACAGTTTTAAGAGTGTTGCTCTGGCTGCCGGGTGGAAAACAGACTGAAGGCGGGTAAGGCTGGAATGCAGGGGCTCGGGGGCAAGAGCCGATGGAGCACAGACCAGTGGAAGCAGCTTTGAGAATTCTGTGCACAGGACCATCCAGTGCCAAATTTTAGATTTTAGTTTTAGGGCAACAAGGTGATCTGGAAATTCCACACCATCCCCACTCGTTTCATTACTATATGTCATATGTTTTGCATACACACACACACACACACACACACACACACACACACACACACAGATGAGAGAGAGAGAAACAGAAATAGATATGGTTAAGTTGCCTTAGCTGGATTATGTTTTACACAACAGGATACCTGATATCTGTTTTAACAATTTGTTCATAACAAAACAGTTTGACGTAGGTTAGGCCCAGTGTAATCCTTCTCTGCTTTAACATGGGCTTGGCAAAAAAAATTCCCTCTTGCTAACAACTCTTTTGTGGCCTATTGTCCTAAGCCACATATAACCCTAAACATACTAAATTACCTGAAAATGGGATGGAGAGCATAAAAGGTTTAGTACCTAATAAATTGGGCGTTTGAATTGCTTTCCTCTTTTAAAACTGTATTCAGTTGTTCAAAGTTACTCTTCTCTTACTTGATCAGCCAAAGCAAATGCTTGAAACACAGCAGAAAACGCCAAGAGACTGCAAATTCATGCGTTTGCCCAGAGGTCTCAAACATCGCAGAGCATCACCTCAATCATTCCTCCATGTGATCTCCCTAAAATGCACATCTCTTGTCCTCTTTGCAGCCAGAGCCAGTGGGAGTCATGTGACAGCCTGCAGCAGAGGCTGGACACCCGCCTCCCACCATCTGCCCACAAATAGCATCTCAGTCCATGTACTGCTATGATACATTTACATGTCATCTTCCATGTCCTGGCTATTGTAAATAGAGCTGCAATGAACATTTTGGTACATGACTGTTTTTGAATTACGGTTTTCTCAGGGCATATACCCAGTAGTGGGATTTCTGGGGCGTATGGTAGTTCTATTTTTAGTTTTTTAAGGAACCTCCAGGTGTCCATCAACAGATGAATTGGTAAAGAAGATATGGCACATATATACAATGGAATATTACTCAGCCATAAAAAGAAATGAAATTGAGTTATTTGTAGTGAGGTGGATGGACCTAGAGTCTGTCATACGGAGTGAAGTAAGTCAGAAAGAGAAATACAAATACCGTATGCTAACACATATATATGGAATCTAAAAAAAACAAAACAAAACAAAAAAAGTGGTCATGAAGAACCTAGGGGCAAGACAGGAATAAAGACACGGACCTACTAGAGAATGGACTTGAGGACACGGGGATTGGGAAGGGTAAGCTGGGACGAAGTGAGAGAGTGGCATGGACATATATACACTACCAAATGTAAAACCAATAGCTAGTGGGACGCAGGCGCATAGCACAGGGAGATCAGCTCGGTGCTTTGTGACCACCTACAGGGGTGGGATAGGGAGGGTGGGAGGGAGACGCAAGAGGGAAGAGATATGAGGACATATGTATATGTATAACTGATTTGCTTTGTTGTAGAACAGAAGCTGACACACCATTGTGGAGCAATTATACTCCAATAAAGATGTTAAAAAAAAAAAAAGAAAGAAAATACATTAACTGTAAATACTCAAAAAAAAAAAAGAAATATAAGGTTAAGTAAAATATATGAAAAAAAATTTTTTTAATGTCATCTTGAGCTTCCCTGGTGGCGCAGTCGTTGAGAGTCCCCCTGCCGATGCAGGGGACACGGGTTCATGCCCCAGTCCGGGAAGATCCCACATGCCACAGAGCGGCTGGGCCTGTGAGCCATGGCCGTTGAGCCTGCGCGTCCAGAGCCTGGGCTCCACAACGGGAGAGGCCGCAGCAGTGAGAGGCCCGGGTACCACAAAAAAAAAAAAAAAAAAAAGTCATCTCACAGTATGACTATATATTTTTAAAGTCATGCTAATCCAAAGAAGTGGTAAATTAGTTTCTGTGTTAGTGAAAAGTAGGCTTAATATTTTTCAAGGAAGCTCTAAAATACAGTTGAGCTCAAGAGCTTTTCATGTGATCTGTCAGAGTGGTTCTCGTCCCACTCAGCTGAGCAGAGGTGTTAAGTCGGGGTGGATTTCAGGAAAGAGCACTCCTTGGTATTCCAGGTGAAGGTAGCAGTGTCTTCCAAGCCCAATCCAAGGTTAATCCTTTTTTCACCCTCTAAGACAGGGTTTCTCAACGTACGCTGCATGGACCACCCCCATCAGAATTTCTCCAGGGCTCGTTAGAAGTACAGATTCCTCGGCCCCCCCCCACTCTTCCCTTAAGGGTCGTGCTAGGACTCTGCATTTCCGTGAGCATCCCAGCATAGTCCCATCCACGCTCACATTTGACAACCACAACTGTAGGTTACGTCACTAGAACTAGAAGAAGGGGCCTCCTTCAGCATCAGAACCCTCAATACAGACGCGTTACAAAATGGCAGATGTTATTCAAATGGCAAGTCCACTTCTAAGGATTTGTTTTCAGCAAGGAAGTGTGTCACCCCCCCGTGTCAGTCTCCTCTTTCGAGTGGAGTCTTGGAGGGTACCTTTCGGCCTGTGTCCTCAGGGTCGGGGGGTGGGGGGGACAGCGGTCCCTGAGCTGGCAGTTTCACCCTGAGGCTGAGCTTGGCCTCCTTTAGGAGACACTGGGGTCTTGGAGCCTCCTCGAAATGGTCGTTGCTGTTGTCTCACGTGACCGTTTCTGTTTTCTTGTTGCACAGCAAATATGCCAGAGGATTATCCTGATCAGTTTGATGATGTCATGGATTTTATACAAGCCACCATTAGAAGACTTAAAAGGTCACCAGATAAACAAATGGCCGTGCTTCCTCGCAGAGAGCGGCACCGGCAGGCTGCAGCCGCCAGCCCGGAGAGTTCCCGAGGGAAAGGCCGGCGGGGCCAGAGGGGCCGAAATCGGGGGTGCGTCTTAACCGCCGTGCATCTGAATGTCACTGACTTGGGTTTGGGCTACGAAACCAAGGAGGAACTCATTTTCAGGTACTGCAGCGGCTCATGCGATGCAGCCGAGACAATGTATGACAAAATATTAAAAAACTTGTCCAAAAATAGAAGGCTGGTGAGTGACAAAGTCGGGCAGGCGTGTTGCAGACCCCTCGCCTTCGATGACGACCTGTCCTTTTTAGACGATAACCTGGTTTACCATATTCTGAGAAAGCATTCCGCCAAACGCTGTGGATGTATCTGACTCCCGCTCCAGAGACTGCTGTGTATTGCATTC